ATCCTTCAGAAATATCCCGCCTAAGTACAGCAGTAATGCTTTCCTCAATCAAATACGCCACGCCCCATCCTCTCTTGCCTCCTTTCCTATCCTTCCTATAGCATTTAAACCCTGGAACATTGAGCTATCAGTCCTGTCCCCCTTTCAGCCATGTTTCTGTACTGACTCTGATATCCCAGTCCCATGTTCCTGTACATGCCCTGAGTCTATCTGCCTGTCAGGCCTCTTGCATTGAAATAAAAGCAGTTTAATTCTTAAGTTATCCCATTCTCTGACTTGGTCTTGCTTATCTTTTCTAACTAACTCACTGTTTTTAAATTTGGAGCCATCCTCATCTGTCCTTCTATTGCGACTACTATTTAGGATCCCTCCAAGTGATTCCCCTGACCACTCTCTTCCCTCCCCACAACTTGTTTAAACCCTCCCAAGTAAGTATACAAATCTCTACGCCAGAATATTGGTTCCCTCCCAGTTCAGGTGAAACACAAACCTTTTGAACATGTCTTTCCTGTCCCAGAAGAGATCCCACTGATCCAAAAATCTGAATCCTTGCCCACTGCACCATCTCCTCAGCCATTGATTTATCTGCCCTATCTTCTTTTTCCTACTCTGTCACTGGCATGTGGAACCAGGAATAATCCAGAGATTATCTTTTTCCTCTTTTGTTCTCATAGTTGATAGGGTTCGGCTCCGCTCTGCTGCAGGATGTTGACCCCAATCGTGACAATTTTGTGGGCGCAGGAGTCATTCACACAAAATCCATCCAGGTCGGATGTTTGTTGAGGCTGGAACCCAACAGTCAGGCGCAGGTTGGTGACTTATTTTATTCATCTGTGGGATATGGGCGTTGGTGGCTAGAACAGCATTATTGCCCTTGAGAAGATGGTGATGAACTGTATTCTCAAACCCTGCAAGTCCATGTGATGTGGAGACATGTGCAATGCTATTAGGAAGGGAGTTGCAGGATTTTGATTTGGCACCAGTGAATGAATGAATGATATAGTTCCAGGTCAGGCATCTGTTGCCCTCATTTTCCTGTATGCACAGATGTCACTGGTTTAGAAGTTGTTGTCAAAGAAGGCTTAGTGAGTTACTGCAGTACATCTAATAGATGTATGCACTGCTGCCCCTGTGCATTGGTGGTGTAAGGGTTGAATGTTTAAGGTGGTAGTTGGAGGCCATATGAGTGGATTTAATCTCCTGATGTCCTATGTCACTTAATGACATGATGGGTGCCAGGCTTTGTAGATCAAGTTACCAGATGTAAACCTTGAGAGCCATGGGCCCCAACTCCTCAATGAGTCAGTAGTTTTACTAAACCTGCAGTTTATGCTGGCCGTTCGCTGACCTCCAGTGGAGACCATTTGTGGCAGAGCTCTGTACTGTCCATCCAAAAAGTGCACTCCTTGGCCATGAATGTTGGGTGCGAACAGTGTGGAAGGGGGTGGGGAGGAAGTGTTGCGATTTGGGAGGGTCTGGCTTGCAGTTGTTTGGAGGCTTTGTTCTCCTTGACTTTGCTTGTGCCAAAGGTAATATCCTACCTGGATAAACCTGTGCAAACTACTTTAATGGGGTTTCTCTGCATGGTGCCCTTTGTCCTATTTTGCTTTGATCTGTAGGTGCCAGTAGAAGTGGCTGATATTAGTTTGTCTGTCTCTCTTTCTGTTTCCCTCAGATGTATCGCCTCACACTACGCACAAGCAAGGAGGCTGTGTCGAAGCGACTATGTGCATTACTGTCTCAACAGTTCTGAAGTCTCAACATGTAATCGATCTCTTACACTATACTGTGTGTTTGTTTTGAGTCTGAGCGTGTGTCCGTGTGCGCATGAGTGCGTGATGGTCCATTTATCTATGCGCCACATCCAGTGAAATCTTCAAGAAGCATCATGTGACGTCCTTTAAGTACAGTATATGTTTACGTGATTGTAGAGGTTTTTTTGCTATTGAGGGACTTGGAAGATTCCTTGGTATGCGAGGCATCATGTGAGGCAGAGGGAAAAGGGAGAAGGTGAGCACAGCTGACACTAGGTTGTGGGGAAGCTGACACTACGTAGCTGCTATCTGTGGTACTTCTCAATCATGTTGATGAGAGCCCCTCAATGATTGTAACGCGCCCCAGTCCTGGGATTGTGGAATGTGACGGCAGTAGCCCTCACTGCCTGCTTTTTGTTTCCAAGATATTGGTGATCAGAAAGGCTCCTCGCAAACCCCAGCTTGGTATTGCAGTCACATGGTGTCAGGCTGAGCCACACACAGCCCTGGAAAGAGTGCCCTGCACGGCATGCTGACTTAACTCTGTGGTTTGGCGTTGCCATTCCCTGCAGTCTTGGGTTAGGGAGTGACCCTAGTGGCAGTTTTGCGTCTCGGTTGCTCTGCCAGTGTCGGGCTGTGCTGGTGCCTGGTGAAGGTGAAGTCAGACTCGGCCATAAAGCTTCAGTTATGCCCTCCCAGTTGAACAGCCCATGCTAACTTGCTGCCTCGACTTGCACACAGGACACAGCAACTTCAGGGCGTTTGATGACACCTTGCTGTCTGAACATCTGTCCTCGAGCAACAAACTGTCTTTGAGAGATGGAGAGTGAGTGTAGGGGGTGAACATTGGGCAGAATATTTTCAGTAGCTATTGGGTGATTTGCCCTTTTTGTTCTCCATGCCTCTGCACATCTCAATTAGATGATGCCCGAATACCAAAAGACTTGGAAGTTCCACCTCGCTGTTAATCGATATAGTCATTCCTTATATTAAAAGAAAGTATGAAGTAATTGTAAAATGTATGTGTATATAACTCCTTATTTAGGGTTGGATAGAAATACCTGTATGACCAATTTACTCTCTGGTCACTGATGTTAAGTTAGCTGTTTAAATGTCACCACTGAAAATTAAGAGGGTGGGCAAACTTTTTTTTTAATTTAACCTTCCGCTTTACATTTTGTTACAAGTGCAAAAAGACTGGAACATTTCCCTTCTCATCCTCTTTGTCTTCGCTCGTTTCTTTAGAAAACAAAGTCTGCTCTCCTGTCACCTTTAAGTCCCGCTCGAGTCAAACTCATTCCCTCCTCCCCTGCTGTTAGTGGCCAGCACGAACTGCATGATGCGTGCGATTGAGCAGAAATGTTTGCTTTAGTGTAAATGCAATGAAACATGACAATGGGGTGAATTGTTCCTTACTCTGAATCTGCTTTCATGCCAGCACCACTTTGTTTGGTTCCGAGTCTGGGAAGTCTGTGTCCATGAGCCAGCTCCTCAGCGTCTACACTTCTCAAGCCAGCTTCCCCATCCTGTGCAGACCCAGTTCTTCATGGATTTACAAGGAACCGGATTTGGCATCATAAACCGAGAGGAAAAGCAGCTTAAACTGCTTCTGTCTCCTGCATTCAAAAGTTTAAAATTTCTCTTTCTTTTCCCCTACCCCCTGCCCTCTCCAGCTCTCTGCTTCACTCAAAGCGTCCTTCAATTTTGAATGTGTCATCTGTCTGTTTTGGGTCGGCTTGCTTGTTCATCCCCACCTCCTGTTTCTTTTTACCTACTACCACTATTACTACTGCTCTGGGAGTTGTCTTGTAAATGGTGAGTGAACCAGTGCTGTGCTTACCCCAGGTTTAGTATAACCTCCCCTCGTTTTGTTCAGGAGAATCCCATCTGCCTAATGCCTGTATATAGAACTAACCCAAGTGACTGGATAACAGGGCAGTGGGGCTTCTTTGCTGAGCTGTATAGAGAGAGCCTGACCAGTTTCAAAGGCTGATTTTTAACAAGAGCAAAACCGCTGGTAAATTAATGGGGATGGGGGGGAGCCAAATTAAATTTTCAGTGGCAGCAGTGAGTTGGACCGTTTTAACGAATGGAGTTGCTGTGGCCTGGATGAAATGCGCGAGTCAAAATGTAACCTTGGAAAAGGAAACAAAAAATACAAGAGAACAAAAGAATGTGAATAAAGTTCCCGGCTTGTCTTACTATACAGCACCCACTACATTGCATCTGGCAGATCCTACAAACCGAGTGTGTTCTGTCCATTATTTTATTTGCACAGTCAAAAGCAAGGAAAGTATCACTTCAACCATCCTGAGCTTTTCCTCAACACTGCACTTTTTGCAGAAATCCCATTGCAGTTACTAGCACGATTTCCATTGAAGTCAATGTCACCAGAAGTAATCCTGAGGAAATTCTGTCTTCCATGTGGGATGGAGGAAGAACATAAGATGTAGGAGCAGAAGTAGACCATTTGCTCCAGTGAGCTTGCACCATTATTTAATAAGACAATGGTTGATCTGATAATGCTCACCTCCGCTCATCTGCCTTTTCCCCATAACCTTTGATTCACTTATTGACTAAAATCTGTCAATCTCAGCCTTTTGATTTCTATCATGACTAGCCCTCTGCAGTAAGGGATTGACTATCTTCAGAGAAATTTTTCCTTCTTTATTATTTGGGTGACCCCTTACTCTGAGACTTGCCCCTCCGGTCCTAGACTCTCCTATGAGGGGAAACAACCTCTCTGCATGTATCCGTTATGTTTCACTAAGGTCTCCTGTATATCTTCTGCACTTTTGAGTACAGGCCCAATCGATTCAACCTCTCCTTATAAGAAAATCCCATCATGCCTGGGATCAAACTAGTGCACTTTCTCTGGAGTGCCTCTAGTGGCAGTAAATCCTTCCTTGGATAATGGGACCAAAACTGTTTACAGTATTCTGGGTGTGGTCTGGCTAGTGCCTTGTAGAATGAGGAGGAAGAATGTTAGCGATACTTGGCAGTGAGGTTCATGACTGCAAAACCACTAAAAATTTCTAAACAAGTGCCCCTGACTTGAAGTCATCTGATCAGCGGCTTTCTGTAACTGGGCATGCTGTTGAATTGGAAAAAGCCTTGGGAATCTTCTACTGGAGAGGACTGTGGATGCTCAGCTTTTGAGCGTATTCCGCACCGAAAGCCGTAGATTTTTGGGCACTAAAGGTATCGAGGGATTTGAGTGGGGAAAATGGAGTTAATGTAGAGATCCACTCTTGATAGTACTGAATAGTTCAAGCGACCCTTAACATGCTGCTAACTTTCTTCCTAACATTGAAGTTGGGCAGTTGACTTCAAAACTTAACTGTTTTAAACTGCTCATCAGGACCCAAGTGACTGACTCAACTTGTTCCAGGTAGATGGAGTGGGAGACACTTTCCTTCACCTCGACATTTTGTTTTGAGCTATTTTTGAAAGTGCAACGCCTTCGTAAAGGATTGAACTGGACGAGGCCATTCAGCCCTTTGAGCCTGCTTCTCCCACTAAATTAATCACATGCTCCCACTCCATTTTCCTCCATTGCTTTTAATATTCCAGTGTGGAACTTCCTTGACATTTTTTCTTTGTATTTTAATTCACTGTTCATTCATATCCTGCTAACAATTGACCACATTATCATCCAGTCACTGTTTTAAAATGGCCCATTCTGACCTTTTTTTTTGTTCCATTTCAAGTTCACAAATCTTGTATAAATTTGTTTGCTTTAGCACAACTAGCAGGTGTAATTACAGCATCTCGTGTTTACATGGTGTTTTCCATTCTAAAGGTAGGGATCAGAATTTAATGTAGAAAGCTATCTGGAATTGCATTCAGGTGTAAGACTTTTAAAAGATACTCAGTTCTTTAATCCCAAGCTATCATGATGCATTATGTCTCATGAAACTGCTCATACAGTAATTTTGAGAATTCCCCATCTTTACAAAAAATAAAGGGTAATTCATATAGAATTGCTTCCTTGCTGTCTTCAATCATTGAAGCTCCCATTAATTATCCTAACTGCTCTATCTCAGGATTTTTGATTGAGTTTTCCTGAATTAGAGAAAATTAAGGTGTCATTGTAACCAAGTTATTTTGAATTCAAGTATGCTTTATGCCCTCACATGTTAGGGGCTGTAAGGGAGTTGGCTGAAGGCATTTTCCAGTGTCTGGAGCCAAGAAGTGGCAAAAATCCACTGACTAATGTATCTGAGAGGCAGGAACGCACTCGTGTGTTCCAGGGCAAAGAGGAATCACTTGGTGTCCCCTCTGGATACTGTGCTGGATAAATAGGCAGCTTTGAATGCACGTTAGCAAGCTTGGCAGGGAGGGCCTCCAGTATGAAATAGCCTAGTGCCATTCACTTGAACACAAAGCACTTGGGGAAGGTGCTGACTGGCACTTATGAAGCCATAGCCCAACAGTCAAGTCCTTGAGTGGAGAATTTTACAAAAGAGAATACTTTTGTTTTAACAATAACCGTCTGCCTGTTAGGACTGTAGTTTGGAAGTCCTTTCTGTCAAAGAGGCTTCTTGATGACCTGTGGAACTGAGACTTCCTATCCAATCTGCATCTTTCATTCTTCTACCTTCTCCATGTTTTCCAATTATTCAGACAGCTCAGAACCGAACCTTTTGGGGTTACCATCTACCTTGTTGACTCAATCCTTTTACATTTCTTAGTAAATCTGAGATGGGTGGGGACAGCTGCACTCAGCTCTAAGAACAGAGAGATGCAAAGTGATTTTTGGAGCTTGCTGTGTCTTCTGGGAACTGAGGAAGTCATTTTGTGACAAAAACCACTCTCTTGCCTTGTTTAAAAGCAGCATGTTTACAGATCATGAGTGAGGTTCTTTCTTTTTTGTTTTCTTAAATGCAATATGTATTAAAGCGATTAACTTAGTGATGTGTAGCACTTTAGTCATAGTTCAATCAAGGTAAAAGTGTATGATATTGTGTGATCTATAATGCAGTATATTTGTCTGTGTGCCTCCAGCCTTTGCTCTGTGTAACCAGCCCTACTGGTAATTTTGCATTAATTGCCTCAATAGATCTGACATGGTGAGGGGTGGGGGATGTTGGTGTTTATGTTTGATTCTGAAGCTGAGGTACTTGCTCAGGATAACATGAGGGTTGATAGTTGAAACAGTGCAATACAATATCCAATTCACATTCCTTGTAAACTTTAACATGAACCCTTTTTTTGAAGTTCATTTGTGTGAGATGGGATTGAATTAGGACCCCCCCCGCCAACTCTGGGGGAAGATCCCTTGTAACTAGGTGGGCTTTTGGATTGAGTGGGCCACAGAGTTTACACATTTAGCCTCAGCTGCCCATCTGTTGAAGATCTTGGTGATTGCCTCTTGCAGTTTGTCGAACCTCTGACCTTCAGGTTCCACTGATGGTTAAAGCATCATCTTTAGCTCTTGAATTGTAGGGACCTGGTGAAATCCTCGACTTCTGTCTTCAGTCTGCGCTGAATTAGCTGATATTAGGCCCATCTATAATTACTGACAGTGGCACTGCTAGGCACCTTCAGCTGATGGTCCAGCTTCTGATTGTTATTCCATGCCCTTGTGCTGCTGGGAAGAAGGCTGTTCAGCTGGACCTCCTTGGCAGTGCTTTCCTCCAGTTAGCCTGCCACAATAGTCAGTCAACATGATCAGCACAATTCCGAGTCCGAGTCTGCTGACCCTACAAAACATTTGTGCAGTCCGTGCCTTCGTTTCTCCTTACAGCACACCAGAATGACAGCAGGTTCGAATCTGTTTGTATCTGAGATTAAGCAAATGGAAACTTGCTGAGTTTATTTAAAAATGTCAAATATCCAGTGTGAATATGTCCACTTTGGCTGTCCATTGTCACTGCTGGTATCTCCTATTGAAATCATTCTCTGATTCTAAGGATGAGACATTCAAATCATTACTCCAGTTACTTAAGTATACAGTCCAGACTCTCTCACCTCGTATAGCAGCGAGGCATTGCTGCACTCCCTTTCGGGTGACACGTTGAACTAAGGCACCACTTACTGAGCCCCTGGCACCGTGTGGGCAGGAGTATGAAGCTTGTTCCAAGTCAACGTTGCCGTAACATTCCCAATGAGCACTAGAAGACAAATTCTCTGGGCGTTCACTTTGCTCCTCCTTCATGGGATCTTGCTGTGTGTGTAAAATAGCAGCTGCAGACTGTGATGTAGCAACAGCGTCTGTACTGCAGAAATTCAATTTGTTTCTCGTGAAGCCATTTGGGACATTTCCAAGCAATCTGATACTATGCAGCAGGATTGAAAATCCTTTTGACCAATTCTGTATACTGGAGGTAATTTGGAAAAATTTCAAGTAATTCAGTTTTATTGAACAAAACAGTGTGAATTCAGCTTTGGTGTATATTATAAAATCTTACAGCACAGAAGACGGTTTTTTGATCCATTGAACCTCTTCTGGCTCCTAGGAAGTTCAATTAGTCATGCTGCTTCCCCTGTAATGCTGCAAGTATTTGTTCAAGACTCCTTTGAAAATAATTATTAAAATATTTAATAACTAAATTGGCTTCTATCACCCTTTTCAGGCAATGTGTACCAAATGAACACATGGTTTAAAAATTAAATTGCTCTGATCTGTTTTTGCCAGTCAACTTAAATCCATTGCTGACTGTTTCCACTAGCAGGAAACAATGGAGATGTCAGATCCTAATTCCTTAAAGATGCTTTGTCATGTCTCTCCTCCTGATAAGAAAGTTCAGGGGTACTTTTGGCTTCAAGTCTGGTTCTTCTAGACTCTGCACTTGTTTTAGTTTCCACACACTTGTGTCCACTTTGTGAGCACCAGCGATCAAATGTTCCTTCGCACTGTCCTTTTATTGCAGAAATCAGCGTGTGGATATTTCAGACTTGTTGCAAAACGGAGTCACACCAGCTCACCACTCTTGCTGAATTCACAGTTGAGTTGATCGCGATTCTTGTTTAGATCTGCAGCAGTTATTGCAATGTCTGCCTTGGAGAAATGGAATGTTTTGGGCAATAAAGTCAAGTCTGCCTCTAGTGATGCACTGACTGTCCATTTCATATTGTAACCCCCACTAAAGCAAAAGTGCAAGGGCGGGTAATCACAGCGGTTTTCTGCTGTTGTGGCAGATGTTAAATGTGATGCATAAATTGCTGGGCTCCTTGACTTCACCTCTGCCCCTCATCCTCTGGTCTCGCTTTCACCACATTGATCTGTCTCACCCTACTCTGGCATTGGCACTTCCAGAGTGGTGGGGAGTGCCATTGAGCCATGGAGAGACCTCTCAGCAAATTTGGAAGGGTCTCTGGTCACACAGCCTGGAATAGGGTGGTGTTACAGTAACCAGGCAAAAGGGACTGTGGGGTGGGAAGCTGCATTTAAATAGAAATCTCCCTCAAAAAGTTCTTTTTCACTAGATGCCATTTGCTAATTTATTGAGGAGGGTGGAAGTAAAGACACGCTATGGTTACCACAGGGACCAGAGGGGCTGCTGTACAAGGAGGGTGAACCATTCAATTGGCTTCAATGTGCCAAGTCATCACAGCTGCAGAAAGAGGAAGGGGGTTGGCTAGCTGGACAGGTCCCGACAAATGGCTTAGTCATATCTCAAGTTGGGGATCTAGGTAGGACACCCTTCATCTGATCAGTATCCAGTGAAATGATAAAATACATGTAGGATGTGATTGGGATTCCGCAAATTTGCTTTTTCCTTGCTGAGTTCTCAAAGCTTGTGTAGATCACACATGCTCGTGAAGACTGTCCACATGGAAAAGGACATTGGAAGTTAACTGGCATTTGTACCTCAGCAGGAGATGAGGTGGGGAGGGCAGTGGGTAGGGTTAAAATTGAAATAATCTGTGTCTGATCTAGTAAACATCTGAGTACCAGTATGGCTGAATCCAAAGTAGGATTATGATGTTACTATGCAATTACTGTTTCATTAGAGGAGCAGCTTAGAATATTGTGTGTGTCTGTATACATCTGAGATGTGAATCTCCCATCAGTGTTAAACGACAGACTATGTTTAACAAAAGCAAATGTACAATGAAGGACACTGTGTAGATAAACTGACCATAATGATCAGTTCCCTGTCTCTGAGCTGATTTATTTTTGTGTCTTCATAATGTGCAATGGTAATGAGAGATAAGGGGAGGGAGGGGGAGAATTTGGGCTTGGTTGTGATGCCCCAAGAAATGAATAGTTTGCCAGCTTGCACCGTGGAAGATGTTCACTTGGATGAGACACTGGAGAACTATCCTTATCAATGGAACCTTTAACCTGCCCATAGTCAACACCTTAGGAAGATGGAAACTTAGAAACAAAAGGGAAAATTGGACTTTAATTCTGCTTTTTGGACCCAAACCACTGAATACCTAGACGTAAATGATTATCTGCTTATCGTCGGAGGAGTCCATTTAATAATGAATATTTAAAGGAATATTTTGCCTGGAATTAGAGGAAAGAGGGTGCCTGTTAGATTTGGATAGCTAGAGTTTGTAGTGCAGGTAAATATGTAGAGCTAGATTGCTAAGCACATGTGCATTGTAGAAGGGCTGACTAGGATTTATCTCATTAATACAGTTCTATGTCAGTGATAGAAGGATCATTGTACAGATCCACTAATGTAGTAAACTGCCCTTCAAAGAGCCTCTTCAGTTGTTGATATTACATCCTCTGTATTGGCCAAGGTATAGAAAAGGTAATGAGAGAGGGACACAGGATGTCACACCAGATGTTTAAAGGGAAATCTGGCTTGTTAAAGCTAAGTGATCATAGTGTGAGGCAAAAGCTGTTTTGGACATTTTGAATATAAGTTTGCAACATCTGACAGCCTTAAGAAAGGTTTAAAAAAAATTGTAGATGCATAAATATGAGAGTAAGCATTACAGGAACAAAACACTGAAATCTTAGGTTTTGTGGGCGGTTACAGGGGAGGTGCTGGTGGATGAAACGGATAGCAGGATGATTGCTCTATTTAACACTGAAACACACCTTTCCCATTAAGCACTGGTACAAGACCTCAAACAGAAGACCTAACCACGCTCAACCCTAAACTGTGCCTGGAGGATGCCAGGAACAAACACTGGCATAAGTAAGGTGGTCTTATGGTAGATCCAGGCTCAAGTCCCATTTAGGACTTGATGGTCACAAAGTGTTTACACAGGGTTGCCAGACATGTTGATTATCAGCCTTCCATTCTGCCTGATGGCAGTTAGTAAGAGCAGGAGAGTTTCCTGGTCAACCATAATGCTGAAGGCGACATCAAACCACTGCACCACTTGGCTGAGCATAACTATGGACCAGTCGAGTGGAAATTCATGCTCAGCAACGCATTTGTTGGACTTGGGAGTTCAAGAGGTGGTTAAGGTAAGACTGCAGCTGTATGACTTAGATAGTTTCAGGTCATGCCAGTCACCTGTTCCACATTATAGCTCCCTATTTTCCATTAGGTCCTCTCCTACTAGTTCAAGGGAGCAATCTGACCTGCCAAGACTTGGCCTGAAATCCAGTTTAAGAGAATCATGGCCTGACTAGGACTACTGAATCCTCTGGACTTTGGAAGAGTCAGAGGTGGCTTAATTGAAACATCAGATCCTGAGAGAACTTTACTGGATGGCTATCGAAAGCATGTCTCTTGTGGAAGAATTTAGAGCTAAAGGGTAAAGTCGCCATTGTCTTACCAGACTATAGAGCTGCTCTCTCTCAAACGAGAGAGAGATCTGGTTGGGGTTTAACCTGAAGTCAGGTGACAAGACATGATTGAAAAGGAAAGTTGCTTTTTTTTTTGTAACCTCAGCCAGAGCAAGAATTGAACCTATGCTACCGGTGTCACTCTACATTGCAAGCCAGCCATCCAGCTAACTGAACCCCTGTAACTAAAACTAGGAGTCATTAGATTAAAAATAATGACAGATGAGAAAATTTTTTTTAATCTGAGGGCTGAGAATCTTTGGAATTCCCTTCCTCAAAAGGCAGTGGATGCCATTTAATACGATTATGGTGGATCTGATTTGGGCCTTAGATCTACTTTCCTGCCCTGCTCTCCATAACCCTTCAACCAATTATTAATTAAAAAATCTCTCTTCAAATTAATTCAGTGTTGTAGCATTCACTGCACTCTGGGGGAGTGAATTCCACAGATTCGCACCCTTTTGAAATCAGTAATTTCTCCTTGTCTCTTTTAAATCTGTCACTCCTTATACTAAATTGATGGCCTCTTGTTCTGGATTGCCCCACATGCGGAAACCTCACTTCTACGTGGACTTTATCAATCCCCTTTAGCACCTTAAGCACAATTAGATCTCTCATTCTTCTAAACTCCAGACAGCATAGGCCTAAACTGCTCAATCTCTCTTCAAAACCCAAACCCCTCATTTCAGGAATCCATCTAGTAGTGTATCTCCCCTGAACTGTCTTCAATACAATGACATCTCTCCTATATTAAGGGGACCAAAATTCTATGCAATACTGCAGATGTAGCCTCACTAATGCCTTGTACAATTGCAGCTACATTTCCTTATTTATATTCTATTCCTTCAGCAATCAATGCCCGAATTTCATTTGTCTTCCTTTATTGCCTGTTGAATCTGCATACTAGTTTTCCGTGATGCATAAGAACACCCAGATCCCTCTGCATCAAAACACTCAAGTTTCTCTCTTTAGATAAGTTGGCTATCTTTTCATCTGACCAAGATGGATAACCTTCCATTTATCCATGTTAAACTTCATCTGCTAAATTTTGGCCCATTCACCTAATCTATCCATATCTATTTGTAAGTTGCAACGAAGAAATAAGAAAATTACTTTCCGACTTTTTAGTGTGGTCTACAAATCTGGCTACAGTATTTACTAGGAGCAAATTACCACAGGCAGTGGAATCTGAACTGAAAGCAAAAAATGCTGAAGATCACAGCAGCTCAGGTAGCATCCATGGAGAGAAAGCAAGGTAATGTTTCAAGTCTTGATTACTCTTCATCAGAGGTGAAGTACTGGGGAGAAAGGATGTTGAAAGTTCAGATTAAGTGATCGGAGTTTCTGTCGTATTTTCTATCCCTGCATCCAAGTCACTAACATAGATTAAGTACAGTACTTGTAAATTGTAAATATGCCATTAGGATTAGAGGAAACTCAGTTGGAATATACATAGTGACACTGGCCAGTTATGCCAAAGAGTTCATTTCTATGTTGTGTTCCTGTAATTTTATGCAACTGTTACCACACTGTCCCATTAGCAAATTCTTCAGAAATTAAGTAATCTTGTATGCAATAAAATCCCACTGCAGTGCTCTGGATCATAGCCCTGAAGCAGAAGTGCTGGAGAATGGAGTAGCTCCACTTTTTACATTTAATTTCTACAGGAGACACTCTGTAGGGAGACCGTCAGGCAGTGATAACAGGCACACCACCTCCCCTCAAAATGCTCAGGCTGTGAGTAGCTGTTATCTCAACAAATGCATTTTTTCACACGAGCATCCATGTTAAGGGCCAGGGTTCCTAAGTTGATTAGTTTTAACAGAAGAAATTTGATCTCCTTCTCAGTAAATCAAGTCTGTCATTAAAACAGTAAAGTAACAAACTGCTAATCTAGAAGAAGAAAACTGAACCATTAATGTCTTGTGATTAGTGTATTAATTAATTCAATGACCTTAAAGGAAGGTAATTGTAAAGTTGTGTTACAAGCTGACAGCTACTTGCTTTGAATTGGTTATTCAATGTTTTGATACCTCAACCAGTGTAATCATTTCTCTACCTTGCTGAGCAGGCAGCAGGAGGGCCCACACTTGTTGATTGTAATTCCAAGAAAGATGAGTCTCAGTAGGTAACAGATATTGAGTCATAGTCTAAAGGTTGCAACTTTATAAAGGGGCCACAGTAAGAGCCCTCAAATGGTGACAAGGAGGCAGCTTTGCTCTGTACACAGCCCATACTGAGACTGTTGGTAAAACTCATTCTTTACTTTCCTGATCATTGTACCTAATACCATGCTGCACCAGCTCTGAACTTTGGAGACAGTGTAGAGGGAGCTATGCTCTGTATCTAACACCATGCCCAGGAGTGTTTGATGGGGACAGTTTACAGGGAGCTTTGTATTCAGTTTAAAAGAGAAAAGAGAGCTTTGCTCTGTATCTAACACCATGCTGTTCTCCTCCTGGAAATGTCTGATGTGAACAGTCTAATGGAGCTTTAATTTCAGTTCAAAAGAATAGAGAGCTTAACTCCATGTCTAACCCTTTTGCTGTCCCTGTCTTCTGAGTGTTTGATAGGGGGTGTAGAGGGAGCTCTTAATTCTTGTTTATTTAGAAGGAGAGGACCATGGAAACAGAACAACTAAGAAAAAGCATTTAAGGTAATTTAGATGAATTTTTATTAAAGTACACTCAAAATGTAACACACAGATGAACTTGTCTAACTTACATGGGTGTGAACCACTCTGTCACTTCACTTATTTTTACGAAATTCTCCACCTGTCCTTGTCCAAGATTCCACTGCCATTAATCTACCCCTCTGCTATTTTGCATGATCCAGAACTGATAGCCTCGAATATTTAGCCACAGCATGTACTACTGCATACACTGCTGGCTAGGAGCAGCCTGACTTCAACATGAATACGCTTTTAAGGGGGCCAGGCCAGGCAGGGGTAACAACAACCATAAGAGGTCCAACACAACAGTGCTTTCAGCTATTCTGCCAACTAGCTGGTTGTTTCTTGCACTGGAATTCTAAGAGCAGTCAATGAATAAGACCCAGGATCAAGTTTAACAAAACATCACTTTTACAAGTCACTTTAGCTTTCCTGTCTTGTCTTGTAGAGTTGAAGTGCACCCCCCTGTCACAGTTCCTTTTCCTTCTAGGATGGTTCTTCAACTTCTTCCCATCCCATACCCTCATGCCAGTGAACGAGAGCTATCTGCCACAGCAGCAATAGTAAAGGGGGCAATTACTTCGCCTTACCCAAACCCCTTCTCCTCTTTTCTTTACTTCCCTGAGAACGACCACATCAAAAGTTATCCGATAGGATGAAAGCAGTTTCTCCTTGGGCCTTTCTCTGGTTTTCCTATCTGTGTCACTACTATGCAAGTGAGCC